TGTATTTTTGAATTCGAGATCAGGTTCACATCTAGATTTCTGGCTATTTGTGTGCAGTGACAAATATCCAAATAAAAAAAATGTGCTAGACAACAGCAGTCATGTTTTGGTTCAACATATTTATGTGAATCAGCGTTTTCATATTGAAAACAAACGAAGAGTAAACAGCGTTCCAGCTTGACTGATGCTCATACGTTTAATTCTTTAAGGTTGGCTCGATTTCCAACTTCGAACCTAGCAAAATCTGTTCAAACGCAAGTCTCATTTGGAAACATAAATAAATAAGAATTACTACTTTTGTTTTATTTACGTATTACTAATACACACTGGTGAGTAATAAAACTAATCCATCCAGAATTTTATCGTTCAAAGCCGAATTCGGGTTTACTCACATTCAAAATTCTTTTAGATCTCGAAAGCTGATAAAATAGTCCTTCAGAATCAGTTATTGATTTTGACAGTAGATCTCGAGTCCGATTAAGTTGGCCACCCCTGGTATATAGCGTATAGGCTATGAGGCAGCCTGTCCTGTTCATCAGCGCTATAAAAAGTAAGACGCAACTCAAATCAAAACCACAGGTTAAATATAAAATTATTCACTATAAATTCTTGGCCATACTAACGTAAGGATCGCTGAAAAAAGTAGCTACAAAATATGATACTGATAATAAACACCAACAAAACGATGATATATCTTGAAGATAAGCATAAAACGACAAATTCTAAGGCAAATCTTTAAAAAAAATGCAACGTCGTCGTCAGCACTTAATAAAAATTATAGAATTGATGTTAGGTTATTTCGAGAAAAAGTATTGAGGACAATTAGGAGTTGCAACGATGAATGGCGACTTCGAAATATACAGAATATAATAGCAACCATATATCTTCAAATACATCAAAATAGTTACAATAGGACATAGGAGGTGGGTAGGGTATGTAATTCGGGTGGAATAAAACAACCCAGTGAGAAAAATGGTCCTTAATAGACCGATTGGGCAATGTAGAAGAGGAAGACAAAGAAAAGAGATGGACGGGGAGGAATGGAGGAAAAGCGTTGTGGAGAATGGGATCCATGTAGGTGGTAAAGCCAAAATGATAATGATGATAATAATCTAACATGCTCATATAATTAATATCTAAATTTATAATCGAAGGATCAGTGAAATGTTGTAGTCGCATCTTGTATATCCTAGACAATTTATTATATTAATGAAAATAATTTATAAAATAAATACTTGTTTTATAACTATATTAACGAGGTTAATTTGATTATTTTCAGGCCTGGAACCAATAACATCGGTATTGTTTTCTTTTGCATTATATTTGGCTCAATTCTCGGCACAATTGAAGAAAAAGGAAACGTTGTTAAGGAGTTTTTTTCGACAATATTCATAGTTATAATGAAAATGGTAAAAGGTGTTGTTTGGACAACACCACTTGGAATATGTAGTATTATAGCTGCAAAAATTGTTTCAGTAGCTGACATAATGTTAGTTATATCTCAGCTGGGATGGTTCATTGCAACAATTCTTATAGGAGTATTTCTGTCGCAACTCATAATTTTGCAACCCGCTTATTATTTTTTTGTAAGAAAGAACCCATTCAAATACTACTTAGCATTTACCCAAGGTAATCATTTTGTTTACTTATTTGATTATAATATACATATAGTTTCATAAATATATTTGTTTAAAAAACAATAGATAACTTTTTTCGAACTCTGAAACTAAACTGAGGCGTTTTCCTTTGGGACACTGCGAAAGTTGTCAATTTAGTGATAGAAAAAGTATGAACAGCAATTTTTTTGAGAAATGCTTCATAAAAAAGCATCAAAACGTAATGGCGGACAAAAGACAGACGGTGTTTCTGCAGAAGGGGAGCGTAAAGTTGTATAGTTACGACATTACCTTTGGTGATGCACACACACACACACCCATATATATATATATTATATATATATATATATATATATATATATATATATATATATATATATATATTTATATATATATATATATATATATATATATATTTATATATATATATATATATATATATATATATATATATATATATATCTATATATATATATATATATATATATATATATATATATATATATATATATATATATATATATAGTATACTCCCTCTATAACGAACACGGTTATTACGAGGTTTTGCTTATAACGAGGTACATTAGATGTACCGTAAAATTTCTATTGAACTATAACCCTCTATAGCGTGGCAAATTTGGTTATAACGAGAAAAAATAAGATCGAAAAACGTGTTTTTTACGTTTTAGCCCAGCCGTAGCAATAAATAAATACCCTTTTTAACAGCCACCAGCAAAAATCCTAACTGCCGCCCTCAATAAACTTGTTTACAGTAAATACTACTGTTTCACATCTTTAGAAAATATGATAGAGAGAATCAGAGTTACCAGACCTAGGGAATTTTGAGCCGGCTTAGGGAAAAAGGGATTTTTATTCAATTCTATGGAAAATCTAGGGAATTCTTAATATTTGTAAGAATATTTTAAAAAATCAGTTTTGTTTAATAAACTTTCCAAAATTGCACATATTATATCATCTACTTGGAAATCATACTATTGGTGGAATCACTAAATTCTGTTTATGTGATTTCCCGTCGGAAACTAGTGGTGAAATTTCACGAACTGCGAATTACGTCGGGGATCTACCTGGGCTAAAGTATGTACATTGGCGTCGCCCATCGGGCGATTTTTGGTTTCTAGTTTGTCTTTCTCTAACTGTTTATGTGATTCTCCGTCGATGAGTACAGTGGTGGTATTTCACAAAGGACGAATTACGTCAGAGATGCACCTGGACTAAAATATCTTAATACTTTGATATTCTTACCCTTCTTACCATAAATACAACTATAAAACACTTGTGCGGAAGGGGCAAAAATAATTATACTAAAAACATATGTGTACGACTAGAGGAACATGCTGAACGCCAAGAACCTAGAGAACTTTTCTCAAAAGTCAAGTATCTAGCGAGAGAATTCAAACCGCAAACATAGATCATCAAAGATACCTAATAATGGAAATATCATAAAAAACCCAGACGGCTTCGCAGAGGTGTGGAAACAATATTGCGAAATACTATTTTCTAACAACGACCGAGCCAATAATATAGAGAAAATAAGTTATAAAAAAGAACCTCAAGTATTGAAATCATAATTTGAGGTTGCAATTAAAAAGCTAAAATCCAGAAAAGCAGAAAGAGAAGATGGAATAACAGCTAAAACACTCAAAGAAATGGGAGAATTAGGGAAGGAAGTAATGCTTAGAATTTGCAATGAGATTTGGAATACCGGAAAGTGGACAAATGACTGGGGTAAACTTGCGTTTATTCCCATATATAAAAAAAGGTTTACCGACAGCTGATTGCAGTAATTACCGCACAGTAGCATTGATATCACTCGCGAGCGAAGTACTTCTAACCATCATCAATGAACGACTTATATCAATTCTCTTACCACAAATTTACCAAGAACAATGAGGATTCGCCCAAGTAGAGAAACAAGAGAACATATTCTTAATATTCGTCAAATTATCGAAAAATCTCGAGAGTGCTTTGTTGACTATTCCAAAGCCTTCGATACCATAAAATGTAATAAAATGTTTCATACACTTAGTGAAATGAGTACTGCAGAACATCTAATCTATTTATTACAAAAATTATAGGTAAATAATACCTGCTAATGTAAGAGTTAATAATGTGATTTCGAAAAACATCAAATTAAAATCTGGAGTTCGACAGGGATGCATAATATGCCCTATTCTATTCAATGTGTATAGTGGACATATGCGTCAAGTTGTTGAGGAAAGTGGCAAGGTAAGGTAAGGAAGCAACGATAGGAGGAAGAAAAATTAAAAACCTGCGTTATGCTGATGACACTGTTATATTGGCGTCATCACGAGAAGAACTGGAACAAATTATGAATAGGCTAGGGACAGTGAGTACGGAATATAGTTTGAAAATAAATATGCAGAAAACCAAAGTGATGATCATCGATAGAATCAGAAACAACCAAGCAGAGATAAAAACATGGCAGGTTACGAAGTAGTCAGGCAATTTAATTACTTAGGCTTCTTTATTACTAACAGTGGAGGATGCGAAGACGAGATCCGTCAACGCATCACAATGGTCAGATCGGCAATAGCTAAACTCTCAAAAATTTGGAAGAACACTGGAATTACAAAAAATACAAAATTACGCCTTGTTCAAGCATTGATATTTCCTATCGCCACATATGCTTTAGGAACTTGGACAATAAAAAAAAACTGATGTAAAGCGTATAATGTATAATGTGGGTCTACCGTAGAATGTTGCGCATACCATGGACCGCTTATCGTACAAATAACTCAATTCTAGCAGAACTTAACATAAAATTAGACTCATCACAACTATCAACCCAAATATACTGAGACATATAACTAGAACAAGAGAAGGCATAGAGCAAATGATAGTTGAAGATAACGTAGCGGGTAAAAGATCCAGAGGAAGATCTTTAGTACGATGGTCGGACCAAATAAAAGAGATGACTGGTTATTCATTCTCCGAAGCAAAACAACACGCACAGGAAAGAGATAATTGGACAAAAATATTTAAAAAAATTATATGACGCCACTATATGCTTACGAAGGAGAAAAGATTAAGGACGATTCTTACCTAACAAATTCACGAACAGCAAATAATACCAATCGCACAGAATAAATGTTCATAACCAAAAGTCCTTATTTATTCTACAAATAATTAAAATACCAATATTTAGGAGATACCAATTAAAATACGTCAGACTTAGGTGGTCCATTCTAGGCTAAATATGGTTGTCAAGTTGTTAGGGAAATCTAGGGAAATTTTGGCAAAAATTCTAGGGAATTAAAAAAAATCATCTGGCAACCCTGGAGAGAATAATACTGGACAATTTTAATGCAGTCAACAATGACAGACTTCTTCCAATTGCAGAAGCAATAATTTATGTTATTCTTGAAAATACGCTTTGTACATTATGTAGTTGGAAAACAATGTAAGTATAGATTTTTTGTTTTAACGTATATCATTGGCAATAAAAGCAAACAACTCTTTTTTTTTAATGTATTTCATTGACAATAAAAATTAACAACTTTTTTTTTTCAAAAACGCCATTCAAACAATATTGCAACATCTTATATTGCTCCGAATGGCTTCACTATATTAAGTTAATGTTTTAGAAAACTATTGTAGTTTATTCATTATAAATACTGTATAAGTATTATTGTTGTCTGATAACGATATCGGCTTATAACGAGGTAATTAGTCTGCCATTTCAGTTCTCGTTATCGTCTACTATATATATATATATATATATATATATATATATATATATATATATATATATATATATATATATATATATATATATATATACTGGATATTAGTGACTGTCGATATAAACAAACAACACAGTTTATTAGGGTTGCAGTCAGAATATTGGCCGGGATGTTAAAAAAAACACTCTTTTGACTTTTTGTCTAGCTTTCGGAATGGTTTTATTCCTTTTTCAAGACACTGTAATAAGATAAATATGTAAATATTTATACTTATACTAAATATATATATATATATATATATATATATATATATATATTACGCTTTAAATTTACACGAGAGTTATATGTGTCTTTAGTAGTTTTTTTTCCGGGTTTGAGTCCGCGCTAAATAATTTGTTTGTGATAAAAACCATTATTTTAACGAACGTTTAGACAGAGTCGCACTTGCCATGGTCATGTCAGATAGTAGCGCTTCTCGCTGAGGCTTGAAGTTAACTTTAAGTTAGACAAGTCAAGTCGTAATGATTTGCGACCTAACGCCGTATAAAAATATTGGTACCAGGAGCAAGGAAAATTTTTTATTTTAGGAAAACTTTTCCCCCATTTTTGTTAATTTGGCACAGTACGGCATTCATACACAAAGTTTCGAAGCTGTATATAGATTAATTTTTTTGCAACGCTGTATACTTTATCTTTGATGGGGGTGAGACATATAAGGCGCAACCCTTAATTTGAATCACCATGCTTTGTGTACCGAAAAAAATTGGCCGCATAGTTTTTAAAGTTTTAATTGTACTATTGTTTTATATGTGATTCATTCTGGGTCAAATGACCCATGGGCTTGTAGGTTATTAAGTCTGTTTGAGGAAGATTTTAAATTAAAAGTAGATAGTGATCTTACTATTTTAGGTTTATTCATTATTTTCATCATTCATTATTCTGTTATATAATCAATATACATAAATTATTCTAACATATTAATATTCTAAAACTGTACTAAAATCATTTTTAATAGTACGTAGACCCTTGTGCATATTTCGCTCTTCATTTAATGTTGTACGTAATATTTTAGGTACGGTAACAGCGTTTGCAACAGCTTCTGCAGCCGCTGCATTGCCAGTTAACTTTAACATATTAGATAACGATCTAAAAATCCATTCCTCGATTACAAGGTTCGTAATGCCAATAGGCACTAACATTAATATGGATGGAACCGCTTTATTTCTTGCATCTTCTACAGTATTTTTAGCACAAATGACGGGATTTAATTTAGGAACTGGAACCGTTTTAACAATATGGTAAGTAGTTCGGTTCTGCATCGATATAGGCCAGGGAAATAAGCAAAAAAAGTACCCTGTTTTTGACACTCGTCCGGACAGGCAAACGACAGTTGTTTTGAGTAGTATGGACCTCTGTAACAAAAACCTATATGTTTCCTGCAGTCGATTTTTTGGACTTAATTAGTTATTAACAAATTAAGGTCAAAAAACGGAAAATTTTTGCTTTTTTCCTCTATCAGCAAAAAGTGAAGCAATTTAAACTAATTTTAGAAGAAAGGAAACTTATAAGTTATATAAAAACCTTCAAAATGGCGTTTTCTAAATGTTTCTATCCTTATTTGTTGCTTACAAAGTTGCAAAATAAGTCAAAAATTTCGGTTTTTTATAAATGTTAATAACTTTTTTAAAAAGAAACTTATAATATTTATATTTTATGGAATGATGTATCTTGCAGATCTTAAAATAGCGTTGAAATTTCAAAGTGATCGGTCCAATAGTTTAAAAGTTATTTTATTAGTTTTTCTCAAATTAACATTTTTTGCAACAATATAAGTCAGAAATGTATACAGTTTTAGTAATTGTAAGGATTGTTTGTGGTAGAAGAAGACTTGTTTTATTATTTATATTAAAAAAATATTAAGAAAATAAATTTTAAATATTGCAAAATAATTTTGCAAAAACATGTCGATTTTTTGCTTATAACAATTGGAATAACTTTTTATCTATTGACTGTAAAAATATTATTTTTACATATTTAAAAAGCTTGAGTTTTTTCACAAATTTAAATAGAAAAAAGTTTGTCCTAAAATAATTTGGTACAAAGTTAGCCTCTTTTTTTATTTAATCCATAGCACCTTTGTTTATAATAATTAAGAAATCTAATTAGCGCTATTTCAAAGAATGTACAGTATAGTTTTAAAGTACTAAATTTTAAAATTATTGCACTTTAATAGAATCCTCCACAAAGCTTCAAAATGTATGTAAAATCGGTCGGCTTTGAAACTTTCGGGAGCTGAAGGGAGGGGGAAGGCACTGTTAACTGTATCTCTGTTCCTTTTTTTATGTATTTCAACGTTTCTTTTTGAACTTGTATTGAGTTTTTACGTACATTACGAATATGCATTATTTCAATAAATAAATTGTCAAATAAACCACTTAATTTATTTAAAACCAATTTTTTTTAATTTTTTTTAGTAGTATTTAAGTTAAGTTTGAATGTAAAACAAGTATTTGTCATTTCCTATATTTTGGGGAATAAGCCACAATTTAAGTTTATAATAAGTTTATTTTTGACGTTTCGATTTCTACTTCGGAAATCTTTCTCAGAATACAGAACATTGATAAATTAATCAAATTTTGTTTTTGGTTACTTGGTAGAAAATTTGGTTGGAAAATTTTTCTGATAACTCTTCTGGGTGATTGATTAGGGTGAGGAAGCTCAGTAGATCTATTATAGTAAAAATTACAACAAAATGTTGTTGACAAAACTTGTAGATAGCTTTAAACTCCACATTTTAAAATTAGTTACAATCTTACAGGGTGTTATATAAGATGGTGCCAGCCCAAACTTACGTTTTTTAAATGAAACACCCTGTATTTTATGTTAAATTTGAAATCTGCTTCACTTCCACATCATAACAATGTAAAGTTTTATTATGTTATACCGGGTATTTAAATAGTTATAACCAATATTACCTAAAATCGTATCAAGTTTATTTCCCTGTATAATTGAAAAGGAGTATAGGACCATTGTTCTATTGCAACTATAGTTTTTTAATAATTGTTAAAAATTATAAAACATATTCGTTTTCATAATATTCAATAAATCAAGTACATGGTAAGTCAAAATGCAAGTACAATGGTCATTCAAAGTACATTTTCTTGGTAATTTTAAATAGAACACCCTGTATTTTATATCACTATCGAAAAGTACTAATATCGTACTTCAAATTTTATAGAGTACTCCCTATACATAAAGTTATCAGCTTATTTTAGTATCAGTATATTTTAATGATCAGTTTGGTGAAAGATGGATCTTAAGGGGTGGCCCCAAGGTCACTAGAATTCAATAAAGTGGACTCTTTTTTTGGGGTTACATTAAGAACCAAGTATATAAAATACCTTCAACAACAAGGGATATAAAAATAGAATCCGAATTGCATTTCAAAATATTTCTTTACAAATGCTTAGTAATGTAAGTAACTCTTTCAATGACCGCTTTCAAGTATGCATAGATGTTTTGGGAGGTCATTTTGAACACCTTACTTAAGTATGATTAGTTAAAATTACAGTTGTTTTTTATTTCTTTATGTGTTGTAATTTTTTTTATTTTCTGTCGGTTATTTTTCATAAATTTTATTTGAATCAAATTGTTTCCTTTTCTGTGTCGTTATCTCGTTACTGAATTAAAAAACAATAATGTCAAACTGTCAGTTTCTGACAAATCAATCATGGCCAACTCCCAATAATTATTGGTAAAAGTTAAAATATCTACCAAATTAATACTTATCTAGAAAATTGATAACTTTAGGTATAGGGAGTATTCCATAAAATGTGAAGTATGATATAAGTATTTTTCGCTAATAGTGATATAAAATACAGGGAGTCCTATTTAAAATTATCAAGAAAATAATGTACTTGCATTTTGACTTACCCTGTATTTGATTTAACGAATATTATGAAAACGAATATGTTTTATAATTTTTAACAATTATTAAAAAACTATGGTTGCAATAGATCAATGGTCCTATACTCCTTTTTAATGATACAGAGAGTTAAACTTGATACGATTTTCAGGTAATATTGGTTATAACTTTTTAAATATCCGGTATAACATAATAAAACTTTACATTATTGTGATGTGAAAGTAAAGCAGATTTCAAATTTAAAATAAAATACGGGGTGTTTCATTTAAAAACATAAGTTTGGCCTGCCATCATCTTATAGAACACCCTGTAAGATTGTAACTAATTTTAAAATGTGGCGTTTTTTTTGTAATTTTTACTATAACAGATCTACTACTTCCTCACACTAATCAATCACCCAAATCAGAAAAATTTTCTACCAAGTAACCAAAAACAAAATTTGATTAATTTATTAATGTTCTGCATTCTGAGAAAGATTTCCGAAGTAGAAATCGAAACATCAAAAATAAACTTATTATAAACTTAAATTGTGGCTTAGTCCCCAAAATATAGGAAATGACAAATACTTCTGTATTACATTCAAACCTAACTTAAATACTATTGAAAAATAAATAAAAAAAATTGTTTTTAAACAAATTAGGTGGTTTATTTGACAATGTATTTATTAAAATAATGCATATTCGTAATGTACGCAAAAAGTACATACAAGTTCAAACAGAAACGTTGAAATACATAAAAAAGGAACAGAGATACAGTTAACAGCGCCTTCCCCCTCCCTTCAGCTCCCGAGAGTTTCAAAGCCGACCGATTTTACATACATTTTGAAGCTTTGTGGAGGATTCTATTAAAGGGCAATAATTTTAAAATTTAGTACTTTAAAACTATAATGTACATTCTTTGAAATAGCGCTAATTAGATTTCCTAATTGTTTTAAACAAAGGTGCTATGGATTAAATAAAAAAAGAGGCTAACTTTGTACCAAATTATTTTAGGACAAACTTTTTTCTATTTAAATTTGTGAAAAAATTCAAGCTTTTTAAATATATAAAAATAATATTTTTACAGTCAATGGTTAAAAAGTTATTCTAATTGATTATAAGCAAAAAATCGACATGTTTTTGCAAAATTATTTTGCAATATTTAAAATTCATTTTCTTAATATTTTTTTAATGTAAATAATAAAACAAGTCTTCTTCTACCACAAACAATCCTTACAATTACTAAAACTGTATAAATTTCTGACTTATATTGTTGCAAAAAATGTTAATTTGGGATAAACAAATAAAATAACTTTTAAACTATTGCACCGATCACTTTGAAATTTCAACGCTATTTTAAGATCTGCAAGGTACATCATTCCATGAAATATAAATATTATAAGTTTATTTTTAAAAAACTTATTAACATTTATAAAAAACCGAAATTTTTGACTTATTTTGCAACTTTCTAAGCAACAAATAAGGATAGAAACATTTAGAAAACGCCATTTTGAAGGTTTTTATATAACTTATAAGTTTCCTCTCTTCTAAAATTAGTTTAAATTGCTTCACTTTTTGCTGATAGAGAAAAAAAGCAAAAATTTTCCGTTTTTTGACCTTAATTTGTTAATAACTAATTAAGTCCAAAAAATCGACTGCAGGAAACATATAGGTTTTTGTTACAGAGGTCCGTACTACTCAAAACAACTGTCGTTTGCCTGGCCGGACGAGTGTCATGAAAAAATGCTTATTTCCTTGGGCTAATAACCATAATGTTGTATTCAATGTGGGCTCCGAAAATTTTTAACATTAACAAAGTTTAATGTAAGTTATAAATTGTGAATCTTAGTGATACATTGAAATAAACTGTAAGTGTCTCTAAACTCTTTACATAATATCCAGTTAAATTAGCATTAAAGTCAGCAAATTGCAATTATTTGTTATTGTTGTCAACAAACAAATCCAGTTTTATCAGCAAATAACCGCTTTTAGTAAAGACCGATATACCTGTTTTAGCATGTGTACAGGGTCGGACTTACTTTTCACGAACGTTTATCAAAATAAATTCAAACATGGAATCACACAATAGTTCTACAATACAAGGCAATTAAAATCAAATAAACACATCACAGTCATACTCTTCGGCAGCGTCGAGAGTGCAATTTCCTTTAAAGTCCCAAGCAATTATTTTTAGTGCTTTAGAAAACACCAAACTTCAAGACTACCTTCTACCACTTGGAAATATAACTCAACCGAAAAATATAATCTTCTCTTCTAGATTATCTAATAATCGCATATGTATGTATTTATCCAATAAACAGATAGTGGACGATTTTATGAATAATCATGGTCAAATAGAAATACAAGGTGAAATTGTCAGAGCAAGAAGGTTAGT